GTTTGGTTTATGCTAGGTCTTCTCTCTATCTAGTGTCTGGTTTTGGTTACCCATGCAGTGTTGGCTATGGGTTCCATCACATGGAGGTGGGCCTTATGTCAAATCAGACATTGACTTTATGCTACCATTGCCCCAGCATATTTGCAGGCTGGATAGATTGTAGATCAAAGTTTTGTGGCTGGGTTGGTGTTTAAATTTCTCTTTTAGTAGCCTGCAGAGTACCTTCCTACACCAAAGGAACTTGGACACAGGATTGAAGGCTCTGTGTAGGCACCACCTTGACTTTTCCTGTTCAATGAGTTGTGTGGGTGTTGTCTTCAGCAATGGGGCCTTGCTGTCAGTTGGTGGAGAACAACTTATTCTATCAGCCACAGCCTGGTTGTTTAGGAATGTATGCATCCATGTGACTTTTATTTCCCTATAGACTTGGGACAGTTTTATTCTTATTCCATGGTTTGAGAGTTAGACATTGGGCAAATTATTTATTTTAGAGCACAAGACTATTAGATATTTTATTGGCTTCAGTTTAAAACCCCCATCTATAGATACTCCAGCAGCATTTCCCTCTGATAGAAATACACAATATTAAAATCCCCCATCATTCCTTGTGATCTAAGTAAACAGTTTCGTATGGTAACAAGCTCTTTTCACTGGGGGAGCAAAGTCAGGCTTTCTCACCCAACTGGAGTATGTTTATAAGCTTTTCCTCTTTGGTGCTTTGGGTTAGTCACTACCACAACTACCAATAATAAAAAATGTTAACATGGCATAGATGCGCTCTGAGTATTAAAATAGTGCAATACAGCTCCTGGCACATAGCGAACATTACATACATAACATGGCTGTGGCTACAGTTTAGACCCATAATCCTCTGCATGCTGTTGGAGAAGGCTGGCCTCGGGGTTCTGCCAAAGCACATTTCTTAATATCCCATTGGCCATACTAGTTACCTGCCGGCTTCGGCTTCAAGGAGAAGTTTAATGAACTCTTGATTGTGGGGAGAAGGAGCCAAATGTTATGTTCATTTCTTCTCAGTTTACCATGGTTACCAGACACTGAGTAGATCCCTCTGATAAGCGGCCACATGGTTTTTACATTAATAGGAAAGCTACGCTCAAGTAGGCATTTATCACTTCTGAAGCAGCTTCAATAGTTCCTGTTCACATCCATAGCTGGAGACAACTGACGCCAGGAGAGTTTAAATGCCATGCCTGAAGTTAATACAACGAATCAGGCTAGATTTTGAAGTCTTCTGTTTGAAGTGTTAGAGCTTTGTAAAGTACTGGACTCGGCTTGTTAGATTACCCTTTCCTTAAAGCGCAGACAACTTGGTGCTGTTACTCTATTTTCAGTATGATCCGGTAGCCATTAATTTTCTAGTGAGCTTGTCCCCTATGCTTATGGCTTAGGATGTAAGAATAGTTCATTTACACAGCAGAGCATGTTCCTCCCATTGAAACCGTTGAGTCTAAGGCTGAGGAGACAGTTCAGTCAGTAGGGGGCTTATGTTGCAAGCATAAGACCCTGAGCTCATCCCCAGAACCCATGATAGTGTGGTAGCGTGTGCTTGTAATCCCAGTGCTGGAAGGTAGAACTAGGTGGATTCTTTGGTTTTGTTGAATATCCAGCTTAGACTGTTTGCCACAGTCCAGGTCAGTGAGAGACCCCATATGAAGAACAAAAGGTGGGTGGAGTCTGTGGAATGGGACCTAAGGGGGTCCTCTGACCTCCACACAGACACAAACGTGTGCACTGGCACACACAAAACAAAGAGCAAAAACATAAGCCTTGTTGCATCTAGCTTTTGCCTCAATTGCTCTTTATCTCTTGAGGAGTCTTGTGCCTCCCTGCTCTCCCTGGGCCACACTACACTGTGAGGCTGAAATGCTTGCGATGTAGCTGTATGAGCTCCTGTTGTCAGTTGCAGCCTGGAAGCTGTAATGAGTGACGTGCTCGCTTAGAAGACCATCGGCGGTTGAGATCAAGGTTATGTGTTGGGACTACATACTGGTTATAGATCCAGAGCCCCACAATTGTGTTTGGAAACAATGCAACTTAAACTTCAAATTCAAGTGACTGCTGTTTTTGCTGAATGAACCTTGTTCCCTATTGGTTGTGTTGTCATTGATGCGAGGACTACCCACCATGTTTATTTTGTGTCTCACTTTGTAACCTTCATATGTCTTATTTAGGCAGCACAAAAACTCAACTTGTAATATCTGCATTTCATTGTAGTTGTGAAAACCCAGTTCCAAAACAGTAAGTTACTGTTCTGAGATCTGTGGCTCAAAAAGGGTTGATTCCACACTTAGCATGTACACTAACTACCCTATCTCACTGTTCTGGCCTCAAACTTAGTATTGATGCTTTCTTCATGGCCACGATTACCTTTACATAGTGATGCAGCCCTTGTCCTCGCCTTCCATTCTCTTATTTGAGATTTAATTCCATACTGAATGACACTGGGGCTTCACTGTTCTTAATGACACGCTCAGCCCTCTTCAGGCATATCCATCACACATGTTCTTGTCGAGAACCCAGAGGCAGGCTGCAAAGACTTGTAGAGCCTGCCTGACTTCAAGTGCGGCCGTGAGTGAGTCTGCTGGGTGCAGCAGAAGTGATCTATGTCTTTCATTACTGGCGTAATTCCCTTTTAACGGAAGTAGCCACCCGTACCCTCAGGATGGTTGTCCTCTTTATAGTGAGGCTCCCCAAGTAGAATGAGGCTCACATCCCTCACAGAGAATAAAAAGAGCTGATTTCCACCACAGTACAGTGAGCATGCCAGGACCCCCAAGAACTTGAGGGTCTTTAAGTCATTCTCTCTGTAGGCTGGCACTGAAGCAGTGGGGTCTTGGCAGCAGCTGCAGCGAGGAATACCTTGGTCAGCGATGCTTCATCTACTTCCTGCCTCAGCGACCAGCCCAGCCCCCCCCATTCTCACTGTTAGAGCCATGTACCTCCTCAGCTCAGCACCCCAACTCTTGATCTATTTTGAGATTTCCCAGTTTTTTTTTACTTAGTTAAGCTACATGATGCATGTGCTTTTGTTCTAAGCTTACAATTTTCTAGGTTTTTTTTTTCCTCCCAGAGAACTTGTTTTGTTTGTTGTTTTCTGGTGTGGTTGGGCAATGCTCACCTTCATCACTCCACTCCTTCTATGGTCATCTGCTCAGTTGGCCGACCCTACTGCTGCTCCTAGTGCCGGTCCTCCCGCAGGCATTTGTTTCTGCAGCCACACATAAACAGGACTTCTGCTTGGTACAGGGGATGAAATACTGAACAAATACAAGCAAGATTTCTGTGGTGAGGGATGGGTAGACGTTGAAAAGCTGATTGGGTGTTACAAGGGTCTAGGTGGCTAGTACCAAGGCAGGCAGATCAGGAAGCTCTTCTGGGAAGAAACATTCGAGCTGATATCTGAAGCAGAAGAGAGTTAAGTATGGAATAGACACCAAAGTATCAGTACAGTTATAGCACAGGGTCACACACACACACACACACACACACACACACACACCTCATTCAGTGTGAAGAATAATACGGGGAGATGGCAGGACTTATGAGTGGGGCCCTGACGTGGCCTTGGGGCATCAAGGAAGACGTCCATCCTTGGGAGTAGAAATCAAGTTTCCTCGGTGTTAACATGTTAAAGTTATGGGAAGGGAAGAAAAGAGCATGCACAGGAGGCTCTGAAAGAACCCTGTATTGTCCACATGTAGCACAAGGTGCAAAGACACATGGCACAGTTGGTGAGTCATGATAACATGACATCTTGCTCATGACCACCCTGTCTCAGTTGCCCTGGTACAGAAGCTTCCCACCAAGTTCAGAAAAGGAACACTGTTCTGCAGTGCAACTGGAGTATGCACACACATAAAGTCAGATTGTGGAGTGCACACACACATAAGGTCAGATTGTGGAGTGCACACACATAAAGTCAGATTGTGAGTACACACACATAAAGTCAGATTGTGAGTACACACACATAAAGTCAGATTGTGAGTACACACACATAAAGTCAGATTGTGAGTGCACACACATAAAGTCAGATTGTGAGTACACACACATAAAGTCAGATTGTGAGTACACACACATAAAGTCAGATTGTGAGTACACACACATAAAGTCAGATTGTGAGTACACACACATAAAGTCAGATTGTGAGTGCACACACATATAAGATCAGATTGTGGAGTGCACACACACATAAAGTCAGATTGTGAGTACACACACATAAAGTCAGATTGTGAGTACACACACATATAAGGTCAGATTGTGAATGCACACAAACATGAGGTCAGATTGTGGAGTGCGCACACACACATAAGGTCAGATTGTGGAGTGCACATGTGTGCCCTCCAGGATCTAGTTAGTAGACTCTAAGTGGAAACTGCACGACACTGTGTGTCAGGAAACTTTCTCTGTGGAGTCTTTTATGTCCACACTGTGTTTCCCCCTCTTCTTTCATGTCGAGCTTCCTGAAGGTGAGGAGGACTCCGCTTTGTGAACTCCTTCAGATCTTGAGAACTCGCCTTGCCCCCTCTCCCATCTGGCTTTCATTGGCTTCCGTCAAGGCACTTCAATAAAAGGACACCTCAAAGGAACTGTGCCTAACGAAATGTAAATCTGAGATCATGTGTTTTCCCTTTCTTTGTCCCCAGCCTTCCCCAGGTGAATGTGATCAGCTTGAGGACCAGAGAGAGACAATTCCCTCGAGCTGACTGCAGGTCTTATCTGGTAGCCTCTAGGTGAAGCTATGGACTTTCTTTTGTCCCTCCAGCTGATGGCATGTTGTCTGTTAGCTACACAAAGAGACGACCCCACGGAGCCACCAATGAGTTATGTTGTAAACAGTTTCATTCTTAACCAAACAACATAATGATCCTCTTTAAACAGCTAAGGAGAAGACTGATAATACATCATTGCTGTCTATAGTATTGAGTAGAATTCTCCAAGTAACTGGATTTTCACACCCACTATTTATTGTTGCAAAACAGGATGAAGAGGAGGAAATCAAACAAGAAATTAACATGTTGAAGAAATATTCTCATCACAGGAACATCGCAACATACTACGGTGCTTTCATCAAAAAGAACCCTCCTGGCATGGATGACCAGCTATGGGTATGTAGCACTATGCAGATGTGCATGCCTCTATCCCCTGGAGGACTTGATGGGGCGACCTGACATTTGATTTTCATAACACTGTATTTTCAAGGTTTTTCCCTTTTTTGAATATATATATATATAATTTTTATTATCTCTAAATCTTCTATCTCTTTTTAAAAATAAATTTACGCATTCATTTGCTTGACATGTGTTTGTGGATAAATATATGTATTACAGGGATGGTGAAGTCAGAGGTCAATATCAAGTACCTTTCTCTGTTAGTGGTCACCTGGGGTCCGTCCTTCCTTCCTTCCTTCCTTCCTTCCTTCCTTCCTTCCTTCCTTCCTTCCTTCCTTCCTTCCTTCCTTTCAGACAAGGTGTCTCCCTGAAGCTTCTGCTGCCTGTTTTAGCTACACTGGCTGGCTAGGGAGCTTGTAGGATCCCCCTGTCTACTCACTCACTACCCCAGGGCTGGGGTTAGCAGACAAAACCACTATGTGCCCAATCCTTTCCATGTTGGTGCTGAGACCTGAGTTCAGATCCTCCTTCTTGTACAGGAAGCACTGTATCCGCAGAGCCTTGTTGCAATGCCCCTTCTTATCCATATGTGTATTGGCCATGCCCGCAGCTACTTGCTCATTCCCGCTTCTCCTCACCTGTTGGCAATCTTTTATAGCATTGTCATATTTTAGGCACGGTGCCATCTACTGTCTATGAATCATATGACATTTTCCCCTTCACTGAGATAGGTCTCATCAGTCTCATCTCTTTCTCTGTTTTTTTGTTTTCAGTTCCATTTCTGAAACAATGCTTCTAAGATTTGCAGGGAGGATAATCAGCTGTCTCGTGGTCTGTGCGGTGGAATTGAAACAAGCTCTGCCTGAACTCTGGGTGATTGAGGTGCTTTGCCCTTCCTGAACTCGCCCCCCACCCCGCTTTAGCAGTTTTGTGTCCCAGTCCTTTGAGAGAGCTCTGGTTGTCTGACCCACCAGTGGCAACTGAGAGTTGTTGTCCCCGCAGTGTTCAGGGCAGATTGTCTTTTCCACCTTGTGGTCTCGGACACAGGAGCTTGTTAGTCACTTGGTCCTTCCCTGGGTACACTGCCATCTCGGTCGATGACATGAAAGGAATTTACCTCTTTTGCCAATCTTATGAATCAGCCTCAGTAGAGCCCATTCAGTGGCAGGTGAACGAGTCGGTCTGCTTCTCTTCATCTCTTGGGTCTTTGCTGCTTTCATGTGATGCTGTTGGATTGATGGCTCTGAAAATGAATGCCTTGCTCATTTTCCAGGGTTCTAGTTAGTGTCTAATACACAAAAGCCCCTGAGTGGTTGTCTACCAAACACCAAAGACTGTGGTACACTGTGTGGCTCCGATGGTGAACATTTCATGGACATTTCTCCAGGCTCAGTCTTGATACAAGTTACTCTGCTGATGCATGTGACATTTGAAATCTAGCCGAGATGGCAAAAAGAAAAAAAAAAAAAAAAAGAGTATTCAGTATATGTACGCACATGCTGACCAGAAAAGATATGATGATGTCAGCTCCAGCACTAACAAGGTTTTATTCCATGTGATACTGAATATTCAGCATGTAGATGTGAAAAGAACTTCCGGGAAAATTTCCCCATAGGGCCCATCTCCAAGTTTAACATGAAGGTACACCATAAGGCAATTAAAGAACGATGGCGGTGATTTAATATACCACGTGGTTTCTGTAAAAGTTACGTTCAATTTAACTGCAGTCTCTACGTGTAGAGTCACATGGACATGAAGGTTGGGAAATAAAGTAGTAGGAGAAAGTCAACGTCAATGCACACTCGGATGAGACATGACAAGGAGATGAGCTAAATCACGCCTTGAGGGACTTGATTGCGTAGCTTTTTAAAATCATTATAAAAATAAAATGGAGATGTAGGTCACTAATTTAGGAAAAATATCCATTTCCTATATGATGGGCAGAGTATAACAGCCTTCAGATAGGAAGGGCTTGCAGCAATTAAATGGGGTAAAGTGGGAAACTACACTAGAAAGGCCAGTGAAGGCCAAGGCTGCAGCTACAACGTTAGGAATCAGTTACCAATAAAGAAGCCTTTTTAAAAAAGTTACTTCTGTGGATATTGTAAACATAGAGACCCAGGAAGAATTCAGTGCAATTTCCCTCCTACAAGATTAGCAGATAGTTTTCAGGACCTACTACTATTTCATAGGTACTATTCCTACCTACTACTCATGGAAATACACATTGCTGCCACTTAACCCAAGGACAGTTAGAATACACATAGAACACACACAGCTCTCTCTCTCTCTCTCTCTCTCTCTCTCTCTCTCTCTCTCTCTCTTTCTCTCCCCCCTCTTTCTCACACATACACACACACTCACAGAAAGAAAAACGTTTACACATATATAATGCATATGTTTGTATATACACGCATGCATATATATTCCAAGAGTCGTACCTAAGTTTTGAACCAGTATTTAGTTAAGCGGAAATTTATTGAAGGGAAATATTTACATAGCTACATAAATAAATTAACCAATGAGGAATTTACTTAACTGTACAGTTAATTAAACTACACATAAATTTATTCTTATGACTGGATGAACATTAACTATTGCAATAAGATTATAAAGTCTTAAAGGTCATAATTCAATACAGTATTTTTCATTTTTGTAAGAAGAAAAAGTGTATGCTTACACACATGCAGACTGGTTGCAGTCTCTGAACTAAACACACAGTAATGATGAGGAAACATTTACTTTTGAGGGTCATTTCAGTCCTTTAATTTTTATATTTAATTTTAGAGATGGGGTCTTTCTGCATAGTTCAGGTTGCCCCAGACCTCACTGTGTAGACCAGGCTGGCCTCGAACTCACAGAAATCCACCTGCTGCAGACTCCCAGTTGCTGGGATTAAAGGCATATACTACCATATCCAGCTATTTTCTATTTTAAACTTCATTACTTAAAAAACAGAGAATTAAAAATAAGATTACAAGTCCAAATCAGCCAGACCCCAAACTCTACAACTTGATGAACTTCTGTTCAATTAGAGTAGACACCGGAGATGGGAGTTAAGGAGCTTGATATTGAATTTTGTACTTTCTCTATTTAATACATTTTTTGCACATATCCACCTCCAAACCAAAGTATTAATGATAGAGGTAGAACTAGAAAAACAATTAGTTTTATATCCTCTTTCATATTTCATGGCCTTCATCTGCATTTACTTCTTCCTCATCCCATAATACTTAGCCTTTCTCGTTCTGTTCTGCATGGTGTAATGGACCCGTGTGGCTTTTGTTCACATGTATGCGTATGTTACTGGCTAGCTTCCATATATGAGAGACAGCAAGCAGTATTTTCCTTTCTGAGATTGGATAGCTCATTTAGTAGTATACATTCTAAGTCATCCATTTTTTGAGACATTATTGTCTTCCATACTTGTTTCTCCTTGTGTTTCTCTTCCACCTAGCGTATGGTCTGCCCCTTTTCTGCTATTCCTCTTTTCGGCCTCTCATGGGACCACCCTAGCTCCTCACAAAGGCAGACAGGGCAAGGGCTGTGCCTTTTGTGTCTTTGTTTCCTCTTCAGCTTTTGGAAGGTATTTGGCAACATGAGTGGAAAAGGAATTTATTTGTTGGTGGGAACAGCATCACTGGTGCAAACCTTGTGTCGGTGATGTCTGTGCGATGCTTCCTAAGGGCCTGAAAGCTCAGAGGCATATAAAGAGGTGACATGCACTGGAATATCTTCATGTCCCAAAGAACCCCAGCACTGTCTGGGATCCAGGGTTTAGTGCTGTCCTGTACTGCCATGAGCTACAACAGATGACTCCCAGATCATTGCCACACTGTGGGGTACACATCATTGCCACACTGTGGGGTACACATCATTGCACACTCTGGGGTACACATCATTGCCACATTCTGGGGTACACATCACTGCCACACTCTGGGGTACACATCATTGCCACACTCTGGGGTACACATTGCCACACTCTGGGGGTACACATCATTGTCACACTCTGGGGGTACACCTATACATCCTTGTAGTCTTTGCTGCCCCAGAAAGAACCACTAATCCTCTCACAACCCCCATGTTTGTGAAGGAATCCACTGCCTTGTGCAAGATGAGCAGGAACTGTTGTGACTTCCTCGGCCAGTCCTACTGAGGTGGAACTGGCAAACTTCAAGAGTATTGATGAGGGTGAGGAGCAAAAAGGATGCTTGCCCTCTGGTGGGGTTGTCAGGCAGTGCAAGCCATTGTGGAGAAGCTTATGGAGGTATCACCCAACAGTTTGGTTCTGTGTATATCTGCCAGAAGTGAGATGGTTATGTCCAAGAGACATCCTCACACCCCTGTTCCTTTGCTGAAAGTGTTACACACAGTATGGGAAGAATGCTGGCAATTTTATGCAGTCTGTGGTCAGGGCTATAGTGCCAACTGGGCATAAACATGTAGCCCCTTTTGTTAGTCGGAATGTCCAGACTGTTGGTTTTCTTGGATTTGGGCAATGTTTTCCAGGTCGTCTCCTGAGGAAAGGAGAGGGGTCATCTAGCAGACTTAGCTCATTTCGTCTTTCCCCAAACCCTAGATTTTAATTTGATCCTTTCAAAACAAGTGCTGTTTATTGAGCATGTATCGCATGCCAGGCATTGGACTGATTGTTGGAAACGATCCTTTTTCAAATTTGTATGTAATTCATAGATACAAAATTTACATTTCAAAACATACTTTATCACTCTTTTAGGTTAATTTGCTTTTGCAGCTGGAAGGAAATTTCACTGTTATTCTCTTGCTGGGCTCCAGTGAAGCTAATTGACTTTTTGAACAAAAAGAGGTGTTGAGAAAACGAGGTATGGTGGGGGGAGGGGGATGGTAGAACATGTGTGACCTACATGAAAACTGAAAGAGTCTACAAGGGGTGAGAAGAGGCAAGGAGGGGTAGTCAGATATAGAGGAAAGGAGAGAGAAGAAGAGCCATAAAACAAACTGTGTTTGAAAATGTCATA